GAGTTAATAGTACTACAAAAACATGCTTCTCTTTGTTTTCCCTATTATATTTCCCTTCCCCTCCCTCCTAGCATAAATTGATTCCCTTTTTTGATGAATATATTTAGTAGAACGAATAGTACTCTTTGGTTTGAACATGTTAAATCTTTAATTTCTATTTTTTTAAATATATCTTGAGATGTTCTCAATTGGCATTCCTTTTTGCTTCTTCAATGCATCATTGTATGTTAGACTAAGATAATTATAGACTATCTTTCATTTTTAGGCATCACTTAAGGTAAATAAAGTTGAGGAGAAACTATCAAGAGGATGGGGTGGTGAGAATGCATACCATGTTAGTGGGTATCGTTATTTGCTGGTGGACAGTGATAGATATATCTCTAGAGCTTCCCCGCCGGGAAAAGTAACAACTCTGACTAAGGTAAGCATTATTATCTGCATGTTTACTATGCGCTTCAAACACAATTATTGCTTGTTTCAAACAGTATGTGTTGTATTTTGGGCATGATTTTGAGCTACATTGTTCTAGCTGTTTGATGCATAAGTTCAGAATTACCTGCGCTTGTTTTGTATTTGAGTCACAGTGACACAAATTCAAAGTTCAAACCCTTTGGAGCTGAAGTGCTTTTTTATTTTACCAAGTCATTTCTAAACTACAGTTTCAACTCCATTGGAATCTTGACTTGTGAGGGTCAAGTTATATGCAGCGGTTGCAACCTTACCCCTATAAAAACAGTGAGGTTGTTTCTGTTAGACCCTTGATGCAATGATGCTGCATTTACTACCCAAATCTTTGTAGAAAGAAGCAAGGGAAGTTATGCACTTATACTTGTTTAACACTTTTATAAACTAAAGTTTCTCAATAAAAAATGCTTTACGATTTTCAAACATGTTAATGGCGCCATAACAACAACCACAGTTCATAATTTCCATTCGGCTGCAAGCAGATTAATCAATGTTGTTTGCCTTCAAGTATGAGCAATTGGTTGTCCTTAGCCATCTCTTTCATAGTTTGTGTTTTATTGCAAAACAATTGGTTGTGTTTTATTCCAAATGCTTAAAATTACTTCAAAGGGCCTTAATGTGATAGGTTTCTGCATATTATCACTTAGTTACATGAGTTTTGGAGTCAATGGTGTATACGTGGAACTCTTTTTGTTTGTTCTGTGATGTAGGAATCTTTAATTGCATTGACCAAGCTCCGAGAGGAGGTTGATTTGGAAAGAAACAGATCTAAGTGTGACTGTCCAGACAATGAAAAAGATGGGGAAATATGTATCAGATCCAAAAACAGTGCATGGGTGATTGCTAGGTTAACCCGAGGGAAGGAGCTTTACATGGTTCTTGAAAAGGCAAATGAGACACTTCTCTATGCCAACGATGCTGTTGAGAAATTCAGTGACAGGTTATCACTACAAATTCTGACAACACTATCAAAGGGTGACTATATATCAAGTCTTTTTTTGCTATTGTTGCTAAAGATGTTCGTCAATTCGAATAAAATCTAATGGACCACAAAATATACACCGGCACCTTAATCATAATGGGTTAAATGCAATTTGGCCCCACAACTTGGTATGGCAAAACTAGTTCCATTGGTTTTTTTGTTTTTACTTTCCAATTTGACCTACTTTTTAAAATGCACGGAGTAAAAAATGCAAAAACCTGGATATGCATAAAAAACATCTGAGGACAAAAAAAAATAAAAAAGGCAATCAGCACATTAAAAGAATGTTTTTTTTGTTCATTTTTTAATCCAAAAGGTTTAAGTGGCTTGTTCTACTGCAGGTATTGCAATGGAGCTTTTTCCTTGGAGTGATTAATATATACCCAGAGTATATAGTTCTCATGCCCAGTTCAAGAGGAATGGTTTAACTCCTCCAACATTCTTGGAGCAAGGGAGGAGAGTTGGCTCCTCGTGTTTCAGGTGCAAAACTTTTTCTTCTTAATTATAGCGTGAGAAAGAAAACTCGGGCATGCTACGCCCGCCTTTGGTTTTGGAGAATGAGTTGTGTTTGACTGTTTAAAGGAGAATTTGGTATTCCAACTTATGCAACCATGCCAATATGGCAATATATGTTATGCTTGTAATTGAATATTTCCCTTTTAGTTTGATGGATTTCATGATCTGGTCTTTCATGAAGGGAGTATATGAGTTGTATAAGTTTGAAAAATATTGGAGGTTATCAAAACTACCATCTAAACTCCATATTGACATCATCTTATCAATAAACAACAGTTTAATTCAAAAAGTGTTTTGTTATTTTACCATATTTCTTTTCAATATCTTATCTTGTCCACCCCCCCCCCCCCCACTCCCTCAAAAAAGATAAATTGAATAAATAAAGAGGTGTGCCAGGGATACCTCAAGTTGCACACCATGTGTATCAGAGACACACACAAACAACCATTGTGTATGTGTGTGATATGTATGGTGTACAATTTAAAATACTCCCTCCGTATAGGAAAACAATTCCTATATTGACTTTGGGCAAAAATAAGAAAAGAATTCACCCTACGTAGCACTCTAACTCATCTAATACTACGCATTTAGCACTGCTTATTGTTTTTTTACCAAATTAGCTATTTATGTTGTCAATCTCTTCCAATCATACCCTTTATGTTGTCAATCCCTTTTATCTATCCGACTATCAATTGTTTCAATTCCTCTTTCAACTCCTATATCAAATTCGGACTCACATAATGTATACTTTGTGTATAGTGGCATAATACTCTTTTTTTATCAAATTCTTTCTTCAATCAATTAAATGTAGTTTTGAATAAATATATACAATAAAAAGACGATATATCAAAATTATATCATAAAAATATGTCAATTATAAATACTTCCTTCATCCCAAAATAGGGCTCTTATTCGATTTACGATGTTTAATTGAAGTTATTTTCAAATCAATATAAGTAAAAGTTAGTGTATAATTAAAAAAGGAATTATATACTCCCTCCGTCCACAAATAACTTTACATTGCGCGTTACGATGTTTGACTGAAGTTATTTTCAAATCATTTTATATGAAAAATGGTGTAGAATTGAAAACTAAAAAGTGAATAAAGTTTGACCCTTCGAATAGTGAACGTAAAGTTTATTTGTGGACGGAGGGAGTATTAAAAAAACTACATAAAACATTCTATAAACAAGTGGTGACAATGAGACTTACATATATAACTACCAATGTTAT